GGGTATCATTTAGTGAGCTCTTTGCTCACAGTACCTCTAGTTTTTACATATAGGTACTAGATAATTCTAGTCAATCCAAATCTCATCAAAATAAGTAATTTCTATAAGATAGCTGCAGTATTGGAGATTCTGATTTCGGTATACCTGTGATGAATGTCAACCAACTTTAAAAACACTATTTGAAATCCTCTCATTCAACTTAGACAGGGGTTTGATATCACTTTGGCTAGCTGGTTTAAGGGGGCGTGAGGGACGCACACCCTTAAAATTTTTAAAGTATGATATGATTAATATTATTAATGCCATACTTTGATACATATCTAACCAATGCCAATATTTTGGTTTCTGATTTTACTATTAGATTACACGAAAACTCAGGAGGTTCCAGGGGCTTCGCTCCCTAGGCCCCACCATTCAAAGTGTGATATGACTAATATTATTTCATGCCATACCCCGTATTACATATCCTGTATTCGCCCATGGTTATTACATGTTGTACATCTTAATATTTTTTTATTTAACACACATGGCCTTAAGACTTTGGCATTGGGGGGGGGGGGGGTTTGGAGGGTTGGCAATATATAGAATACTACAGAAAACTTAGGTACTGTATGCTGGTGCCCCCTCATTAAAGCCGTCTGATGACCTTCTTTTTTTGCTTGTCAAAGAATTTCTGGAGTTGAGCCCCCCCCTTTAAGTTTGTGACTACGCCTCTGGGTTGTTCCTATGACGCGCGAGCCGGTGAATTAAGATGTCAACCGGTCAACCTGGTATATTCCCTATTCCATTGATTTACAGAGCATAATTATAGCCCCACCCCTTATTGGAGAGGTAGATGTAGTCGAACAAACTATTAAATTTCACTTTCAGCATTTCTTAATTTTGTTTATACGCTTTCTCAGTTGAGTACCAGTTCGAAGGTTTGAAAGGCCAATGACTCACTAGAAAGGGGAATTATGAATCCAACCCCTTTTATGGGGAAAATAAATCATGAATGAATGAATGTCAAAATATTTTCAAGTAATACCCCCTCCCCTCCTCTATTTCAAAACGATCGATTGTCTTAATCATTGAGAAGCTTAACTTGCATGAAATTATGATGTGTTTTTAAATTTTACTGCACTTTCTAGGAACGTACATGTATTCATCTATTTTTTATCCTTTTCCCGGAAAGGGGCATGTTTGATCAATATTATACCTACATGTTTTAATTCATCGCTTTTCTGATATTTAAATATAAAATAAAATTTATATAGATACTTAATAATAGTTTTTAACGTTCTTAGAAAGAATCCATTGGAGATGGACATATGAGATTCTCTCTGTTGTTCCTTCATCACAAAATACTTCAATGTGGGAACAGCGGTATAGAAGCAAAACTACAAATGTCCTAGCTACAGTAGTAAGCCCCATCTTAAGAAAATTAAGACCCATCGAATAAGAGGCTCGATATTTTGAGTCCGAAGTTTTTTTAATATACTATAGTAATACAATACAGCCACGTAGCATCGTTTTTGAAAGTGGGGGGGGCTGAGAAAAAAACATACTTACCTAAAAAGTTGACAAGCAAAAAAAAGGGGGGCACAGGAAAAGTTGTCCAAAGTTGACAGTCCTATTTGGGGGGGGGGGGTACTTTTTCAATGCAAATTTTTACCCGTACCAATTGCCTGCAGTATGAATAAAACCTTAAGGAGTGGATCTCATCTTTTCAAAGAAGCGGTAACTGACCACTGACACCACAGCGTTACCAATTTAACACCAACAGCAAAAGTTTGTCTGGTAGAACTAGATGATGTTTATTTATGACAAATCGTGCGAGTGTGTCAGGGATGGGAGTGAAAAGATGGTTGATAAGAAGTAACTGACCCTTTGAATTTACTAGTGGGCTCTCAGATAATATACTTTTAGAATGGCAGACTTTAGGCCTATAATATATACCGGTATAGAACCATTATTTCCGACTATTTACAATCAACATACCCGACATTAATAGCACATGTCTAGTTGCAACGTGTGTATGTCATGGTCCAAAGAGCTATTTATGTATTAAAAAGGGATGAATCCTCCTGAATAGAGAAATTATATATCTCTCTATACAAGATAATTTGTGCAAACATCTAATTTGTCCGAATATCTAATTTAACCGAACAAATTTCTAATTTGTCCGAACGAATATCTAATTTGTCCGAACAAATAACTGATTTGTCCAAACAAATTTCTAATTCGTCCGAACGAATTTCTAATTTGTCCGAACAAATATCCAATTTGTCCGAACGAATATCTAATTTGTCCGAACAAATAACTTATTTGTCCAAACAAATTTCTAATTCGTCCGAACGAATTTCTAATTTGTCCGAACAAATATCCAATTTGTCCGAACGAATATCTAATTTGTCCGAACAAATAACTTATTTGTCCGAACAAATTTCTAATTCGTCCGAACGAATTTCTAATTTGTCCGAACGAATATCTAATTCGTCCGAACAAATAACTAATTCGTCCGAACGAATTTCTAATTTGTCCGAACGAATATCTAATTCGTCCGAACAAATAACTAATTCGTCCGAACGAATTTCTAATTTGTCCGAACGAATATCTAATTCGTCCGAACAAATAACTAATTTGTCCGAACGAATTTCTAATTTGTCCGAACGAATATCTAATTCGTCCGAACAAATAACTAATTCGTCCGAACGAATATCTAATTTGTCCGAACGAATATCTAATTCGTCCGAACAAATAACTAATTTGTCCGAACGAATTTCTAATTCGTCCGAACCAATATCTAATTTGTCTGAACAATTAACTTATTTGTCCGAACAAATTTCTAATTCATCCGAACGAATTTCTAATTTGTCCGAACGAATATCTAATTCGTCCGAACAAATAACTAATTCGTCCGAACGAATTTCTAATTTGTCCGAACGAATATCTAATTCGTCCGAACAAATAACTAATTCGTCCGAACGAATTTCTAATTTGTCCGAACGAATATCTAATTCGTCCGAACAAATAACTAATTTGTCCGAACGAATTTCTAATTCGTCCGAACGAATATCTAATTCGCCCGAACAAATAACTAATTCGTCTGAACGAATATCTAATTTGTCCGAACGAATATCTAATTCGTCCGAACAAATAACTAATTCGTCCGAACGAATTTCTAATTTGTCCGAACGAATATCTAATTCGTCCGAGCAAATAACTAATTTGTCCGAACGAATTTCTAATTCGTCCGAACAAATATCTAATTTGTCCGAACAAATAACTTATTTGTCCGAACAAATTTCTAATTCGTCCGAACGAATTTCTAATTTGTCCGAACGAATATCTAATTCGCCCGAACAAATAACTAATTCGTCCGAACGAATTTCTAATTTGTCCGAACGAATATCTAATTCGTCCGAACATATAACTAATTCGTCCGAACGAATTTTAATTTGTCCGAACGAATATCTAATTCGTCCGAACAAATAACTAATTCGTCCGAACGAATTTCTAATTTGTCCGAACAAATAAAAATATTTTTTTACCTGGCCCTCCAGTGGCGCCGTAAATTTTGATCTCTTTCTTATAATTTTTATGTACATATTAACTACCCTGCATTTATTAATCATGACATGTGAATGATTTTTAGGCCTATAATATATACCGATATAGAACCATTATTTCCGAATATTTACAATCAAAATACCCGACTTTAATGGCACATGTCTAGTTGCAACGTGTGTATGTCATGGTCCAAAAAGCTATTTATGTATTAAAAAGGGATGAATCCTCCTGAATAGACAAATTGTATATCTCTCTTTACAAGATAATTTGTGCAAACATCTAATTTGTCCGAACAAATATCTAATTTGTCCGAACAAATATCTAATCCGTCCGAACAAATAACTAATTCGTCCGAACGAATATTTTATTCGTCCGAACAAATAACTAATTCGTCCGCACAAATATTTAATTTGTCCGAACAAATAACTTATTTGTCCGAACAAATTTCTAATTCGTCCGAACGAATTTCTAATTCGTCCGAACGAATTTCTAATTTGTCCGAACGAATATCTAATTCGTCCGAACGGATTTCTAATTTGTCCGAACAAATAAAAATATTTTTTTTTACCTGGCCCTCCAGCGGCGCCGTACATAACAAACAAAAAAAAGTTGATCGTTCTTCTTTTATAATCTAAATCCTTCACGGGACTGAAAGGTTGACAAAATGAATTTTATTTTGAATTCATGTTAACTTTAACAATTATTCAGGAAACAATTAAGTCACTAGTCAAGAGATCAGAGGGTGTAATAGCAAATTAATTGAGCGTAACCGTCAATACAAAGAGGTAGTTCATATCTAGATACTACCGGTTTTTAAAAGCTGCTAACTTGCAATGAAACATATGGAGATAACAAACAGTATTCAAGATCAAATGTCCATAAACAATACAAAATTGGAGCAGAGCAAACACGGACCTGCAAAACATCAGATATGGGATCAGGTGCCATGGAGGAGTGAGCATCCCCTGCCGACCGGTCACACCAGCTGTGCGTTCCTTGTCATGATCGGGAAATAACGGAAAAATCCGTTGTCAATTCATTGTAAAAATAATGGACTAACAATTAGCATGAAAAAAGTTAGTCCCAGTTCTATAAAGACCAGAAGAGGCCTCAAAATGTGTGGTGTTTTTTTTTTTAAACTGTTGATGATGGCACCCTTTTTTCTGTATGTAATCTTGCTATGGTTTTTGTGGTTCACTATTGAAACATTTAAAAAGAAAAGCTGTAACACAGGTATCAAATGATACACAAATTACACCTTATTTCAATAAACATTGAATAATGACTTTAGTCATGATAGATGTCTGTGTTGTGATTCAAAGGATTTATATGTTGGATCAGCTTTATTTTCTACATATCACTGACAAAAGAATCAAATTTAAAATACATTTTCTTAATTTATAATAATTAAAGTTACATTTTTTTTTATCCAGGTCATAACCATCTTATTTATTTGGGCTGAAGGAATCATGAAAGATACAGGACCAAGAATGTTTATTTTTCTTCTCTGTGAGTATGTTCATTAGCAATATAAGATTTATTTCAATGAAATTTATGAAAAAACTGAAGTTGACGAAGAGTGAGCGATCTTTAAAATCCACTAACAAGTCTGTGAAAAAGGCATTTAGTTTTGGTTTGCTTTTATCGTCTTGTCAGCCAAAATGTCATGTATTTGTGTAATGAAATATACATGTATTATTATTCATTAATTGTCCTTTTAATTAACAAATAAAAGAAACTCGGAAACCAAAATCAGTTTGGAGAAAAGGATAATTACTAGTTTGTCAGATAACTTATTTCACCATCAACCGTAGTTTGCGAACACGGGGATTCATGTGTTTATATAATTTTAGCAAAAACATGAAATATTAAAAATGTTCGGACAGTTACGTGTGAAATTCAATGTAACCTTCATACCATATGTTTTCTGAAACCTACCTTTAGTTTATAGCAACTGAAATTCAAGTATAAAACATGCTAGTACACAACCTATCTATATAACATAAAAGTATTATCCTGGTCTCAAATTTGATATGCCATTTACCTGTAATGTGTACCATCTTAAATTCTTACATAGCCATCATTATTCATGGACAAACTTTAAGTTGTCGTACAAAGTGTGTCCATGACTAATGTCTACTACGCTATAATTTAAGCTGGTACAAACTACAGGTAGGTTGGATAACGTATTTGATATTTAGTTTATGTTTTCATGATGTATAAAAATGGATGTTGCACAAGGTTTGTTGATAAATAAAGTATACAATGCTGAAGGTTTTGTTGGTACAAACTACAGGTTAGATAGCTCAAAACAACTGTTTTGAGGGTTAAAACCTTCCGTTGAATTGTTCTTCCAACAGCTGTTAAACGATATAAACACTTAAAAATTACTTGTAACTTCATAATCACTGATAAAATTACACTGCATGTTATCGGTGGGTTTTAATCTTTTTTTTATTTGTAAATGCATAAAATGTAAATATATGTAAGTGCTGTCTTTTTTATTTTTAGTTAAATATTTCCTTTATTTCTGTATAATTTTTATTTCTAAGATTACATCAATTTGAAGCTCAATGCATTAGATAATATCTAATTTTAGAGTCTTTGGAGGGCATCATATTAGTTTAAATTGAAGAATATTTTTTGTGTTCCTGAATCTCATATATACCGTTCACGGTAGCCTAGTGGTAGAGCGTTCGCTTCGTGATCGGGAGGCCCGGGTTCGATTCTCGATCGCGACGCCGCGTTAAACCTAGGGCGTAAAAATAGGTAGTGACTGTTCCTTCGCCAAGCGCTGGGTATCAGAAATAAAAGTCACGGGTCTTTCGGATATGACCTTTAAAACGTAGGTCCCGTGTCACGGTAGGCGCTGGCACGAAAAAGAACCCTAACTGCTCAGTGGCCCTGAGTTCAGACTATAGGTCTAAATTTGAACCCTTCACAGGCATACGGTGACGTCTCCATATGAGTGAAAAATTCTCGAGAGGGACGTTAAACAATATACAATCAATCTATCTGAATCTCATTAAATTATTTTTGGATTGCATAATCTATAGGTTGTGCAAGTGATTAATCTTAAAGCTGATCTTTTCGGGATATCCTTGATAAAAATATCAATAATTTTGTACACCAATCAATTACTAGTTGATAAATAAATAATTAAATAAACAAATTATTACAAAGATTCTGAGATAAATTCAAATTATTATAGGCGTTAATAACCCTCTTGGTCTTTTTAGTATGGTTTTAGAGAAACATTTGTGGTTAAATCTTCCAGCTAACTCTTCTAGTTTTTAATGATCTGATCATTTATTCACTCTAGTCTAGTTCTCAGAAATGTTTTTAACTTGTTATGTATCTCTAAAATAAAATCTTTCTTCAAGTCATATCCGCAGTTGCGTGTAATCAAGAATTTGGGTATGCTGAATTGGTTTTTAACTTTTAAAATACATACAACATATACGAGTATAAACACAATATTGTTTTTTTTATTATTATTAAAAAATACAGAGATTAAAAAGCATCGAAGAATACTTTTGAATTTTATACTTATTGCAAATTTACACTATCTGCCTAAGAGTAAAAAAGAGAAACGCTTTATGATAGAATGGACTCCTTTTGCAGTTTGCAGTCTGGTTGCTATTTCATACCTCTGTCCAACAGCGCCATACACAGACGAATGCGGAAACCTTGGAATTCTATGGAACTGTAGTGGACTTATTACAGACAGAATCCTAGACAAAATACCACAAAAGTTACGAAACCGCTATGTGACGTTGGATTTGTCATTTAATCGATTTTCTACATTAACAGAAAAGACGTTTGAAAATCTTATTCGGTTTTCAGTTGTGTCATCCATAATCCTTAATAACAACAAAATTACAAACATCGAAAATAAGACCTTTCATAGAATTTCTGGTTTATGCAGTCTAGATCTTTCAAGTTGTGAGCTTGATAAAAACGGAATAGAGGTTGAAGCTTTCTCCTATATTTACAAACTGAAGTTCCTTCGACTTGATCAGAATAATTTCCAATCAGACGGTTACCCGGATGTTGCCCTTTCTGCAATTCAGTCATTATCGAGTCTTCATATCGACATTTTCAACGGATTTTCATTTACAGCACCATTTGAAAACTTAATAAACTTATCTGAATTACAGTTTCATATTTTGAACGATTTTAGGTTAACAAATACATCATTTCTAGGACTTCGGCGCTCTAAAATTCATCGCCTTGATATTTTTTTCTTGGTCACGTATTTTGTGACGTCCTGAAGATCTATACTGAAAGGAAAAAGAAACGCAAAGTAGCATAATATTCGAAAACTTTTTGAACGCATGACCGAAAATTACGAAAATTGGTCAGATGAGAAATTAAGTTACTTTGCATCAAAATCAGTGTTCAGAATTACTCAACCGTAAAATGTATGACGTCATGTAGGGAAAACGCTAAAAAGTCCAAAATACGTGCAATTTGATGACGACGAGTTTGTCAACAAATCTTGTTGCACCATTTGATGCACCTGAGGTATACACATTGTTTTTCAATATTTAGAGACGATATGAATTTCTTGCAATCTTTGTACAGTTTATGGAAGTTCAATGGGGCCTGATTTTCGATTTGCCTAATTAATGAAAGAGGCAACAACGGTTAACTTAGCAGTTTCTTGTTAATTTCCCCCCATAAAACTTGTTACCCGTTGTCAGAGAGGGTCTGGAATGGTTTTCAATCAACCGTGACGATGACGTTAACGCGAAACGGAGCCATGTTACGAGCGGGTTATTCGTCCTGCCACCTCTTAAATCTCAGTCCTAATACCACAAAAACCGACTTTTATACAGTAGACTATTACAATCATTACATTCACTCAAAAAATGAAAGAAAACAATTCTGCAATTTGTTTATTTGAGCATGTCAACTTACTGTTGTGTTCTTGTCACTCGCGCATGCGCGCTTTGCATGACTAATTTTTTGGCGTGGTTACCCATGCCCAATATAGCCAGGGTTTGAAAGATACTCACTCTGATGAATTCCATGCAAAGGAGAAATAACGCTCATGACAGATGTGCAGGAGAGACATTGAAGATAATGAGAGTTTTCGATTTTCACTTTTGGGGGGTACCGGCATATGAGCTTCACTAACTCAAAAATTATTAGACAAAATCAAATGAGATTTTGGTTATATCTTTTTGAAAGATGATTGTAAAAGTTAGATAGGAATACTGAAAAAAATTGAAAGAAATATAAATTTAATTTACCTCAAAATTTTACCCTGCGTTTCTTTTTCCTTTCAGTATATAAAATATGAGGTTTAAAAATACTTTGGAATTCGATTTCAAATTTTTCTTCAATGCTGTTCATATATATAGACAAAATATAAAAATCATACGCTACGCTATATTTTTAATAAAACATATTACCAGGCTGTCTTGAATATTTGCATTTATACATAAATTTAGAGATGATAACATTAGTATAAAAACAGTGATGCCCCTGTATCCCCAAATTTAAACAGACACCATCTCGGAAGAAAGAGAAAATTGAAAAAATAGAAGAATTTTTTGCATGATGCATGCAAATTAAATTAATTTCTTCAAGATTGGTTGATTGTATATTGTTCAACTTCCCTCTCGAGAATTTTTCACTCATATGGAGGCGTCACCACTTGCCGGTAGAGAACTGTAAATTTTGTCATATACTCGGCACTCAGGGTCATTGGGCAGGGAGGGATCTTTTTCGTGCCAGCAACTACTGCGACACAGAACCTCGGTTTATACGGTCTCATCCGAGGGACCGGTCTCCACGTCCCACAGTGGGATTTGAACCCGCGTGGTAATGATAGACTCCTTACTTCGCGACTCTAGAGCAGACGCTCTAACCACTGCACCACACGGGCGACTCAATTCTTGAAGTTATTAGGTTTTAGAAAATAACAGGTTTCAGAAAATTACAGGTTTTAGAACCTCAAAAATGTACTTTAATGGAAAACATTTGGCAACCATATTTTAATATAACCTAATAAAAATATTGCTACACTTCCTTTTCCTTATTTGAGGCATGCCTTGAAAACCATGATTTCAATTGCAAAGAAATCTTAGTATCGGATGACTGTGAATTTTGATACGATCTTCGAAAAGCTGATCAGAACGTATTCCTCGCTTCTGCTCGCTCCAGTTGACTGATGGTTACAAGTTAGAAATAAAGAGATCGTGATCTTTAAAATGTTGACATTGGCGATAAAAACTTACGCGATTGATACATTTTTTTTTTCCAGTTTTGTATATTTTGAAGTTATCTTCCTTGCTTTACAGTGAAGTTGAGTTTTCAAAACTTTGCTACGTGTATTTTCATATTTCACATAAATCGTTTGTTTTGTGATACAATTATCTTGGAATAAACCGATAATTTTGATTCATTATTAAACCTTTATTTAAGTTCAAGAATTCAAAAATGTTGCACCAAAGAATGGACTTGTCTCAATGAATATACCTCTGAAGTATGGAGGCTAAGCTCAAACTGTAAAAATCTGATGACATAGATAATTTTTTCAAAGATTGGTCAAACTTAATTGTCAATGTCAAAAGGTAAAATTCGATTATATCCAATCTGACTGACGAAACAATGTTTTCTCATATTTTACTTTCTTGCCTGTTGCTAAATCTCGACGCAAAATGGTGTAATTTTGACGCAAAATGTAATAACATAAAATGTACAGTAGAAACCCTAATAATTACGTTGTTACTTTTTTGCGTTATTGTATTTTATTGTATTCTGCGTTGATCTCTATAAATGCGCGCCATATCAAGTTTTGGAAAGAACGATAAAAAGAGAATACTTCAAATTCAAATAAGGCAATATATTTTCAAAAGGTTTGAAACAGGCGCATCGATATGTTTTAAATATGATTAGTAAGACAGAATAATCAGCGTATCATAAAATAACACAACTGCAGGTCCGTAGAACGACTGGGTGGAGGTGGGCGAATAAAGATGATCTCGACAAATCGGCACTTTCTAGATAAAAATAAAAATTGTATTTTAAAAATGCTTCACCGATTTAATTTTAGGTAAATGCTTGTGACAGAGTCTTTTGCAAGTGTATAATTGTAATTCCTAACTGAAAAGGTTATACACATTTTTTTTTATACATCTGAAATAGATTTACCTATGAAACTCTTGTATATCAATTTTCTTATAAGAAAATCCGGCTATTCAGAAAGGAAGTCACTGTTTTCTGATGATAAAATTTTATGTAAATATATTATTTTATAATGCAAATTGCATGCCATTTTATTTTCTCTGTGGTGTTGATTTTGATTGCCTTGTCTGTACTTATTATAGTTGCTGCCTTACGAAAATACCGTATACATGTAGAATATGTTATACTGCGACTTAAAAACAGGTGGAAGGGTGTACATATACAAAACAGAGAAAACAACTACATTTATGATATATTTATGTCATATGGTGAAAAAGACCATCCCTATACCACTTAGAAAGTAAATATCCGTTGCTATAAATATTGTATCATTCGAACACAAACAAACTCATTACATTGTATGCAAGTAATATTATACAAACATAACCCTTTCAAGAAAGATCAAATTTGCTAAAACCAATTACAGCATAAAGACAGTGCAAGTTATGATTAATTACAATTTTTTTTCTTATTGTCAGAAAATTTTTAAAGTGCATGAAATATTATATTGATTTTCTTTCTGTCAATGTATTTTCTTTGACTTTTTGTGTATTTTCTAATGTATTTTCTACTTAGAGGAAAACTTTTTTTTTTCATTTTTGATTTTTTTTAATGATATGTGTAAACTATCTATAATTATCATTTCGGGCACAAAAGCGAAAGCCTGATGAATCAAATGTTGAGTTTGTCCAGTGTGTTGCATTGCAACAATCATGTGTGAAAATCAACCACACACACACATGTACTTAAACGGGTACATTTAAATCGATTGCCTGTGTCAATCTGATTAATTTGTGTTCTTTGCATACACAATCATTTAAATTTGTGTCTTGTCATCAATTGTCTAAGGACAGTACATAATTAGCGGGTTTTGTTATTAGTTTTTTTTTCTGCAATAGCTGCAATGTTCATTCCCCTACTAACAAATAAAGGTATTTTATGGTTAATATCTTTATTTGCTTAAAAGAACATTTTAGAAAAAAATCAAATGTGATAAATATTGTGTAATAGATAGATATGTAACTACTAGCATGCATATCTGAAGGAAGAGCCATTGTTCACGAAATCTATGAAGATGACTTGCCTTACTGGTGTTTACTAACGTATAAACGGCGATTACTCTTACATAAAATAAAGGAAATACTATTTAGTAGATGTAGATATTTTATAATTTTAATCTTTCTCAAATTTTCAAAACATAATGCATTTAATCGAGGATATCTTCTTCATTATTTGCTCATCGCGGCTGTTCGTCTGTTGTATTCATTGATGTAGCAATAAATACAGATATTACTTAATATTTCTATAATGCATACAATGCTGTTAATGGCACAAGCCCAGTTTTAAACTTTATATTATGTGAAACAAAGATATTGAATACGCTCGTGTTTTTCTTGGAAACATTTTTTATGCTTTTATAAATCGAATTCTTGCAAGAACAATCTGCATGTTGCCATGACAACAACTGTCTAGCACAAAACTAATTTACGATTTTTTTTAAAATTAAAAACTGCATTGTTATGTTACGGGGGTCCTCCCTGTCACTGGCACTGATAAATAATTACGATTGTTTTATTTACATCGTTTATTTACATATTTACAACACACGCAATATATTTATAATAATAGTGCACAAAGTTCACAATTCAAAGACACTTCCACTCTCATTGACTTGTTCTCCTCTCTTCCAGAGCATGGCCATAGCGGATCTCTCCCCAATTTATCCCACAAATTAACTTAATGCTCACTTTCATCTATTGAAGCTCTATCAAGAACGATAAACAGATGCCAGCAGAAATGACAAACAAACAAATTATACATCCGTGCTTGCTCACCCTCTTTCTCTCTAATTTGCTAAAATTACATTCTTGGGAAACAGGACTACAACACCTGCGCCAGGAACCTGCAACCTTATCAGACCTTCTAACTCTTTCATTTACAATTAATTAACTTGGGCGATTGCTCTGCGACAGTTAAAACACGTAAAATGTGTATCTTTATCATAACATTTATATATTGACAACAATTCTCCTGATATTTACATTTTATTTTATGACTTATAAATAAATGATTTTTTGTTCAATAACATGAAAAAATTTGAGGGTTGCTAAAGGAAATTTCTTTGGCAAAGTTTCCATGTTAACCATGACTGAAAATGTTTTTCATTTTACGTACATTATTCATATTAAAAACTCTATGTATATATGTATCACTTTCATACAATTTGTCTGATTTTTATGTGGACTGGTACTTAAAAAACATCTGAATCTACATGTTTAGTCTGTGATACTAACTAAACAGTTTTAATTCTTTCACTTTGCCAGATCGTAACTCTGTAACGAACAAAATATCATCGCTGTCTGAACAGAGATCATATGGTTCTTGTAATTCGGATTTTTTTATGTACATTAAAAACTGTCCGTTCTCGTCAATGATATGTATAACTTGATTACTAGGGTCAGCAATCAAAATTTGGCATATGCTATTCGTTGTTACACCACGTGGAGTAAATGTTTTGTACATCTGCGACTGGAGATTTCCATCATAGATGAATCTTAATTTGCCCAGTCTATCAACCACTATTATCTTTTCACCAGAGTCACTCACTATTATATCAAGGTTTTTGTTTTCCTCAATGAATAATGGACATGAGTATAAAGCTTGTTCTGCATTATCGAATCTTATTTCTTGCGTGGCTACAGAACCACAATAGCGAACCACTCTACTTTGTGCGATTCTATTTTGAAGTGATTTCATAGCAACGAGTAATTCACCTGTGATGGTGCAACATATAGAGAGTGGAGTCCACTCCTGCGGAGAGATAAGACATTCTATTTGGTCATTCTTTCTGATATTGATACGTGTTGACCGGCTCTCGCTATACACTAAAAATCCCTCTCTGCTGATTGCCAGGTCGAGAATACCTCCTGGCTCGGTGCTTATGTCCTCCAGTACCTCTCCCTCTATGTTCATGTGCTTGATTATTTCACTGTCACCACTGACATAAAATTGGTGTTTGTTTGGAATACATTTGATGCCAAATGTTTTGTGAAAATAGGTTTCTACACTTCTTATAACTCTAGGCTTGTCAAGAAAGCTTTTACGTGGTACACTGGAACTTGAAATTCCTTTTATGACATATCCCTGAATGTAAGTTTTAACTGTCTTTTCAATGTCACCCATCAATTGACACAATGTTTTTTCTGTGAGTTCACCTGGACTGAATTGTGGCACTGTCAGTTCCACCCTAGAGGGAACATGTCTAAACTCTTTATTTTTTGAAATGTAATGAATAAGTTTTGATGAATCTCTGGAAGCTAGAATTGATGCATTTTCATTTATTGCTGAATGAAGTGATGATTGCAGATTCTCAAACACTGATTTTAAAGCAAGCAGAGAGTCTGTGTCTTCTTTTTCAATCTGTTTTGAATCTTGCAAATATCTATTGATAACACTATCTATCAGATTGTGACAGCTGTCACCAAATTTAGTAATAGACTGATTTCGTTCTCCGTGTTTTTGGATAACATTTGTTATCATTAACTGTATTTTAGAGATTATCGACTCATAATCAGGTGCAATCTTATTTCCCAGTTCATTTATATCTTGTTTAATCGTCTCTTGCCGAGAGTTATAAATTTCTGTAATATGTTGTACATTGTGATTTGTATGAGAATCGGATGATAAACATTGCGGACAAAGAGGGGAACCACAAGATTCACAAAACATTTCACACCCTTGCCCTTCATGTTGATTACACTGAGGCGCAATGATTTCAGATGTGAATTCAAATGTAAGAACTTCATGTTTAACCTTACGGTCAGAAACCATATGAAGACCTACACAATCCTTACAGAGGTTGACATGGCAGGAACTACAAACAATTTCTGCTGCAGATTTCCGGTCCTTTCCAGGACAAAGTTGACACCGTTTTATGTCTTGTGCTCTGTCTGTAGTATCTCTGATGTCGCCATGTTGAATGAAGGCAGTTAATGTTAAGCTAAAGAAAACAATTAGAATTCAACATCTTTTTTATTCTAAAGATCTACATTTGGTGAAAAAATATTGATATACGGCATTTGAAGTAATGTTCTTACCGTGGCGTTCTGTCATTTTTAACATGGCTGCACATTTGCACTTTAAGATAACATGATAAAAAAACTTTAGACCAAAACAGATTTAAATGTCTTATTCTAATAACAGCTCTAACATTTATTTAAAAACCTTATCGGTAGGGAAGCTTATGTGCATTAAAGGTATGCGGTCTTTAACAGTTTCTCTAATGCTCTTCATTTCGTATCAGTTTACAACAACAATTTATAGTAAAATATACCTTACATAACATTTTTACGTTTCAAGCTTTTTTAGTATTACAACGAAGAGAAAAAAAATGTCAAATATAACTATGAAAACAGACATTTCAGATGGAGGAATAGTGCATCAAGCAGAAACAGGAGCGAATCCCATTAGGTATCGATGGAAATACCAATGTGAAGTTACTTAAACGAAGTTGGGGGGGAGGGGGGAAGAAGGTAGGTACAGACATAGGTCACCTGAAATAATCAAAATGGCGGCGAATGAAAACATTACCGTAGAATTAAATTCTTGTTTACCTCCATACGTTGTTGTTGTCTGTTCTATTTTTAGTATTTTGGATTTTCTCCCACATTTTTTGTTACGTAATGTCCGGAAGCTAGACCGTCATCTTCACTATAATAGATTGTTTACAGTTTCAAAAAGGGCAGAATAAAAAGAAAAAAATGAATTCTGATGGGAAAAATATTTTTGTGTCAATGAGGAATGAGGGATATACATTGTAGCATATTGCAAATACAATCAACATTCGTCGTGGAATGGTTTCCGATGTTAAATACGATTTAAGAAAAGAAGAAGGGCAGCACGAAAAACAAATGCCGATTCTTTATGCCTAGGTCACATTTCCCGGCTGGTAGCCGAAGACCGGTGGTTATCCGTGGTGTTAAAGATGCCCAAACATCGGTACACATCGGCCTAGAAGTCCTTAAAGTATCAGTCACATTATCATCGCTGGGTATACGATCGGCAATCAATGTGTTTTAACATAAAAATGGCGTGGTTGCCGGCCGGACTTACAGAGGCCCAGCGATGCATTGCTAATCATAAAACGATGTTCCAGGATAATCGGCCGATGTATATTACATCGCTCACACATTGGTGAACATCGTTCGTACATCGATCGACTACAGGCCAATGTTTGGTCGAACATCGACCGATGATCGGCCGTTATCTGTTGAACACCATTCAACCCCCCGATGACCTCAGATTCAACGGATATTGGACGATGCTCGGCCATACATCGGCCGATCCTTGAAAGATGTGTTAATGATGGGTTGCCGATTTAGGAGCGATGTGAGGCATCGTTTGAGACATCGCTGAATTTTAACTACGAATTATTTCCTAATGACCCCACCGATTCGCAAAATGGCCTCAGTCACCGTCCGATCACTAGTGATGCCCGGCCGGCAACCACACCATTTTCATCAAAAAACGCATCGGTTTCTCATCGTATACCCCATCGCTGGATAATGTGACTGATACTTTAGCGGGCCACCACGGATTATTGATCCCAGGGATGATAGATGTTAAGTAAGACCGGACAAACGGAAATCCCTTTTGGGTGATTTAAGCAATACAGACACAGAAAAGTGTCTCAACGAAAGCTCAGTGATATTTGTATCGACAAGGGTACCACAGACGTGTTGTAAAGAAGAAAGTGAGAGTGAGGGAAATGAACAGGAAAAAGATTGATTGATTGATTGTTTATTGTTTCACGTCCCTCTCGAGAATTTTTTACTCATATGGAGACGTCACCGTATGCCGGTGAAGGGCTTCAAATTTAGACCTATACTCGGCACTTAGGGCCATTGAGCAGTGAGGGTCTTTATCGTGCCAGCGCCTACCGTGACACGGGACCTACAGGAATAAGAGACTGAACTGGTGAAGAGGAAAAGAAAAATCAGATGGAATTTTAATGGTCAATGTGATAAAGACAATTTTTTCAGACAAAATCCAAGCTGTTTGGGTACGAATCAGAGGATTTAAATATGGCGATGCAAGGATGAAGCCGAGACTTACGAGGGCGTGTGCCTGACCCCCTTCCCCCGGCTCAACGAAAGGTCAGTATTATGATTTTGGGGTGCAACACCTGTCATGGTCTGGGAACTGTAACAACTGTTAACGATACTATTAACACACACTAAAATAATGAAATTTTGGAAAAAAATTATCGTGTCATTGGTCGGACAATATTGAATGTAATTACGATAAAGCCGCCTTACGATTTGCAGACCTTTATTTCTCGTTGGGTTGGACAGTATCAAGGACATCGTCCCGATTCCAACTCCCTGAATGTTAACAAAAATTCGTATAAATTTATAGACATGTTTGATAATTGACAATTTTGAATAACATATGTCATGAGATATTTGATATACAAGTAGAGATAAAGATTTCATTTTAAATATCAATAAATTTTAATAAATGCGTAAAATGTCAGTGGTGGATTTAAGGGGGGCGCACTCGGCGCACGCCCCCCCCCCCACCCTAAAATTGTCAAAGTTAGCGTAAATCTAAGTTTCGTCTAGAAAATGTAAATATGTCTAATTGGTAGACCTCATTTTTACCCTACAAAATCTCTAGAATCCAGGAGCTTCAAGGCGGCCCCCAGACCCCTTGCCTAATTTTGGCGCCCCCTGTAACTCCAATTCCTGGATCCGAGCCTGAATGTGAAAGGTGGACGAAAATAGAAGAGAGAAATTATGGGTTAATTTGCCATACCTCAACAGGAGAATCTCCATATTAGTGAAAAATTCTCTAAAGGAACGTTAAACAATAAACAATCAATTAACAAAATCAGAAAACGAGGAAAACAGGTACTTTAAATGCATTTATAATATTGATAGATCATACAGACTCCTGATTTGGTAGAAATGTAGTGTGAATTAAACAAAATAACAAAGCAGTTGTACATGTACGTGTTCGATAGGGCCAAGTAAATGTGTTCTGAAAGTCACGAGCGTGTATTTATAGCGACATTTTCAATAGTGTAAACAGCAATGTCAATCGAAACAGAAAGGGAAACCATTCCAAATAAACCGCCTATTACCGGACGAAATTAATGAGATTAAACAAGCAAAGAAAAGCCTTTATTTCATTACGAAGGTGTTACGGCTCAAGGGAGAAAAGGTGAAGCTAGTCAGGAACATTACATATGTGATCGGAAGGCCAACTGACCTAGAGGATTCAGAGCCAATTGAGCCACTGGAGTACTCACAGCAAACCCCAGAAACCGAAAACAAACGTTGGAGAATCAACTCCACACCAGAAAATGACTAGGGACTCTCCAGGGAGTGTGTAACAAACTCGAGAAATTGCGTGCAAAAACAATTAATTAAAAATCTTCTCATTAAACTGTTGTGGAATAAAGGAAAAAATTAAATTATCAAGAGTCTCAGGAGCTAGTGGGGCAATACAATATATTGTCTTGTCAGGAAACAAAAACAGATGACTTAGATATAAGAAATCTCAAAAATATCGATTTTAATATGAAGAAATTCTACTAATTGGAATAACATTTATACCTCCAGAAATTACAAGATATAGTAGTTAGATTTTATTTAGTACAATTAAACTAGAGATGCAAGAATTAGCACATAGTGACAAATATGTTATGCTAGCAGGTGACTTCAATGCTCAGCCGGAACAAATATCGAAATTTTCAGCGTTGATAATGAAACAAAAAATCAATTTTGTGAAGTCTTTGAAACCATGAAAAAAGAAATTTTTCCAAAGACGATGTGCTTGAAAGAAACAATGAAGGTAAAGATAAAAATCATATGGTAATTTTTTATTGGAAATGTGTACATTAAATTAGATGTTAAATGTAAACGGACGTAATAACGATTATTCATTAGGAGAGGTAACATGTAAAGAATCGAGAACTGGAGATTACTTTCTTTGTGATTATTCTCTTTATAAGTATTTTTTGAATATGCAAGTACTTTAACAACAAATATGTTCTTAATCCTAAAGTGTTGTATTTAAAACTACAAAAAATTGAATTCAGTGAGCATTGTTCGAATACAATGTTTGAATGTGTAATAAAAGCAAACCATGGGGTCCTAAGGAGCATGTATATGTACTGATCAATTAAATCACGTTTTAATATTGCTAGATTTAAACAAATTAAAAAAGCTACGAATAGTGCAATGAATGAAATTGTGGAAAAATGAAATAAGAATTGTTTGATGCAGCAAAAATTTCTATAGGTATTACATGTAGCAATGGTAATAGAAAGAATAAAACATATGGATATAACGAACAGTATTCAAGATCGAAAGTCCATTAATTAATACAAAATAGAAGCAGATCATATAAGTACCTCTGAAACATCGGAGTTGGGATCAGGTGCCATACAGAAGTAAGTATCCCCTGAAAAATATGAGAAACTCTAAATCTTGCTTTACAAAGGCTTGTGGGAAAACCCACAAAAATACCTGAATAGTAAGAAATCCTACAGAAATTGCATACAAAAGGAATAAAGAAAATGAAAAATATACAAAAAGTTATACTAGTAGATAAAGAACAGATAAATATGCAGTGTAGGAATAAATTTTAGTAAACATCTGAAAGAAATAAAAATAAGATTCCCAAAAAGTATTGCAAAAATAATTAATAAATATTAAAATGTATAAACATGAGAAAATACACCAGTACTATACAAATACTTTAAAGATTGAAATAAGGCTCCTGATATAGATGAGGAAATAAACCATATTAGTTGATAATCATATTGCTAGCAGAAATCTTAACCAAGATCTCAATAAATATATAAATCGGGACAAAATTAAAAGAAAAACTATTTAAAATCCTAAAATTATTAAATCGAGTAGGGATGATGGTATAAGAAATGAATATATTAAAGCAACAGAGAGCATAATATTGCCAACTAATGAATAAGTATTAATTTTGATTTTTCCATCGGGCAATATTCCATTTTCTTGATTAGAAGAAAATATTATGCCCATACATAAAAAAGGCAGGAAAAGTAAGACACAAAATTACAGGCAAATTACAAGATTTAAATTTCGTTGGAAAACTTTTCACTTTGATTCTTAATGAACGATTTAATATATTTGCCAATGAGTTTAAAGTAAGATATGAAAATCAAACAGGATTTAGAAAGAGATATTCTACAATTGATTCTCAATACATATTTTATTCGAGCTTCACAAAACAAAGAAGAAAAAAACTTAATTGTTTGTAGATTTTGAGAAAGCTTTTGATAATGTATTGGGAAAAGAATTTTGGTTTAAACTTCTATCCCATAACATCATCGGCAAAATGTAAGACATTATTTTGAAGATGCACAAACAGAAAATACCCAGAATTGTTTATATCGCTAAATCAAAAATATTGATATTTAGTAAAATTAAAATTTTTGTGTTTTATGAACAATCTTTAACGTTCAATGAACAAAACATTAAACATAACAAACAAACAAAAATAGGTGAACATTGCATTTGAAGGGGGAAAATAAGCAAGTAAATGAAGTTTAAATATGCGAACAATCCCATATGTATTTTTTGAATATCAACAGCTGCTTATCATATACCGGTATTCCCTTTTCTGTGCATGTTCTAATATATAGCATACTTGTAAGCTTGTAAACTTTGGTATTCATTCAATATCGGCGTACCCGAGTTCATCCGTACTAGACTGTTCTAATTTTCCGACCCAGTAACCATATTAAAGATTTTCCCATCTTGAACGCCTTCAAATTTCCAGGACCTATTAATAGAATCTGGCATAAAAATCAAAAGAGAGTCGAAACTGAAAGAAGTTTCAGAGACGTCCAAATACCATAAATGGAAATATCTGTTTTCATGACTATATAGAAAATTGTAGTTAAAATTCTTTCAAGGATGATTGAGAGCAGGACTACATGAGAAAAGAGGTACGTAAAAGGACAATTTATTAAAATCTGTATTATGTGAGAAATCCCAAAAAATTTGGTCCGAAATATCTGACGTTTTGATTTGATTTGAAATTCAATACATAGGACTTTTAACCCCCCCCCCCCCCGTTCATTATTTATTAATGTGAATTCTTTGTTTCCGTCATATTTTGTAGAACTCCATAAAGACGGGAAAATTTTTAGGTTTTGGAATTTTGAGATGCCCTCTCTGAAAACAAGACGATAGAATTTTTTGTTTCTTGAATAAAATGTAAAGTTGGTGAAATGTATTCTTTTTATAGCTAACTATATACTAGTAAAGAAATTTCAAACGAAAAAATAGAAAAATATTTATCTGAGATAGACGATATCCCTAAATTAAGTGAAGAAAAGATATTGTTAGAAAAATTTCCAACATATGAAGAGTGCAAGGAAGCTGTTGATAGCATGAAAAAAGAAAAATCACCTGGACTAGATGGCCTTCCTAGTGAATTTTATCAAAGTTTTTGGGAAACACTTGGGCCTTTCTTTTATAAAGCACTTAATGATATTTTTGATAAAGGTGAATTGTCTTACACACAGAAACTTTCTATTATATCACTGATCCACAAAAAGGGTGAAAAAGATAATTTAAAAAACTATAGACCGATAAGCTTAACAAATACAGATTATAAAATTATTGCCTTTGTCTTTGCAAAGAGATTACAAAATATACTATATAAGTTGATTAACGAAAATCAAACGGCTTACATAAAAGGGAGATATATCGGTGAAAATGCTAGATTAGTACTTGACGTTTTTGAATACTGTGAAAGTGAAAATTCAGATGGTATATTACTTTTCTTAGACTTTGAAAAAGCATTTGACTCGGTTGAATGGAACTTTCTTTTCCAAGTCTTACAAAAATTTAATATTGGCAATATTTTTATAAAATGGGCAAAAATTTTATATACAAATCCAATGTTTAAAATGAAAAACAACGGCTGGCTTTCTAAAACCAGCGAAATGACGCAAGGAATTAGGCAAGACTGTCCTATTTCCGCTCTCTTGTACCTATTCGTCGCAGAAATTTTGGCTATTAAAATAAAATGTGATACTGATATAAAAGGCATTACAATTAATAATTATGAAATTAAAAACATCCAACATGCAGACGATTTGACTGTAGCTTTAAAAGACGAAATATCAATGAAGCGAACTCTGGATAAATTACAAGAATTCTGTGAACATGCGGGTTCAAAAGTAAACATGCATAAGACAGAATGCATTTTATTAGGGGAACTAAGAAATTTATATGATGAACTCTACGGTATAAAAATTACGAATAAAGCAGTAAGATGTTTGGGAATATTCATAGGGCATGATAAGGAAGAATGTTACACTAAAAACTGGATGAAAATTTATCACGATATTGAAAAACTTTTTGAATCTTGGAAAAGAAGAAAACTAACGCTATTTGGTAAATCATGTATAGTTAAGACACTTGCTATATCTAAACTTACATACGTTGCCTCAATACTAAGTCTTCCTGATAATGCTTACATTAAAAAAATACAACGTCTAATTTATAACTTCATTTGGGATAAAAATGAACGAATTAAAAGAAACACGCTAATAGGTAGAATTTTAAAAGGTGGACTCTCAATCGTTGATATTGAATGTAAATTAAAAGCCTTAAAAGCAGCTTGGGTACCTAGATTGTTAAAAAGCAAAGGTATTTTGTACAAAATTTTTGATGGTTATTGTAAAAAATCAAATTTTGAAGTTCTCTATGTGTTAGATTTTTCTGATAGAAAAGTAGAAAATATGGAAAAATTAGAGAAACTACCTAAATTTTATCAACAAATGTTATGTTGCTTTAATGAATGTAAGCCCTGTTTTTTGAACAAAATGTCTTCCGATAATGTTCTTCGACAGCCGATATGGAACAATTGTAACTTTGTTTATAGGGGGAAATACATTATTTTTTAAAAACTGGATAGCCAGTGGGATTTTGCATGTTAAAGACTTATTTGACGATGATGGTAATTTTAAATCATTGTTAGATTTTTCTAATTGTATAAAAAACAAGTCAAACTGGTTGTGTGAATTTAAAATTCTTTCTTCTGTTTTCAAACCTTTGCTACTAAAGTATGATTTTTCAAATTGTAAGTTTGTTAACATAAGATACAAAAATTATTTTCTTTTCTACACAGGACAGGTTAATATCATAGATCAAAGATGTAACTTTTTTTATGACAATCTTGTACACAGAAAATTTTGTAAACCATGTTATCAAATAGTTTTAAGCAACGAATTCAGTGTCGAACCTTCAGAATGGAAAAATATATATCAATGTAAATTATATGACATACCCGATAAACAACTTACAGAATTCAACTATAAACTTTTAAACAATATTCTTTGTAATAACTTGTATCTCAGTAAATGGAAAAAAGAAACGAGTAGTAATTGCAAATTATGTCACGTGAATGAAACTTCAAAACATCTCATTTTTGAATGTAAAAATGTTGGTGAAATTTGGAATAGATTAAGTTTGTACCTGAAAATAGATATCAAATGGAAACATGTAATAATTGGATTTAGCTCTGAGCGCAATAGAAAAATTGTATCACTCAACACACTCATCTCATATGTTGCCTGTAGGATTTACAAATATAAGATGTACTGTCGAATAAATTCCTTAGATGAAACTAGTTATAACATCTTTAATCACGTTAAATCTTCAATTTTTTTCTATGCTTCCATTCTAAAAAATTTGAAATCACTTGACTACAAACTTTTTAAAAATTTTGCATAAAATTGTCTGAAGGTAATATTGTCATATTGTTTGTAATGTAATTTGTCTGTTATATATATATCACTGTTTGTTTGTATGAAGAATTGAAAATAAATAAAAAAAAAAAAAAAAAAAAAAAAAAAAATGTAAAGTGAAATATAACTCATTTGCTTTAAAGTGCGATAAATGGCACTTTCCTGTATAATCCAACAGTACATGTAACTATTTTGAGACGGTTCACTAAATATACACTGTACTTGAACGGTAGATTTTTTTTTCAAAACTTGGCATATATACTGAAGTCAATGTAAGTTACATATGTTAATGAATTAAAAAACGTTTCTATTGTTGTTTTCATACACATAATACCACAGACAGTCGATTTCTTAAGTACAGATAATACATTTTGTGTTACATTCAATAAATTTAAAGGCTTACGGATGAAAACAAATTTCAGCATATTTTAGTTTTCGAAAATCAAGGGTCGTACAACTTATATATGTTTACTTGTTCCATGTTGATTCTAAAATGACACATGCCTACACTGTAGGGTTTACAATTATAATGAAATATGAGGTAAAGAAGTATATGGAGATGGCGAATAGTATTCTATATCGAAGTCCACTAAACAATACAAAATAGGAGCAGAGCAAACACGGGCCTCCTAAACATCTGAGGAGCATTCCTTGCTGACCGGTCACATCCGCCGTGTGCTCCTTATCATTATCGGGTAAAAATATAACGGAAAAAATCCGTCGTCAATTCAGTGTATAAATAATAATGAACCAACAATAAGTATGAAAAACGTCAGTCAGCATTTGACTCAATGATAAATTGTATTTGCTGAGAAGGTCATTGTATCGACCATAGAACTTACAAAATGATGACTTTAAACGATACTGCTGATATTCTTGTTTCATCAACTTGCTAATGTCAATAATTTACCTCGTTTTAGAAATTGTTCATACGTAGAGCATATATATGCATGGTCTTGTGTATCGAATCAACTGACATATACATGTATACACTCCGTATGCAGGTGATGAAGGTATACTGCTGCATAAGTAAGGGAAGTTGACGAAAGAAAAGTTAAAGTAATCATTTTTATCATATAGATTGGTTGTTAGATTACCATTAACGTATTTTTCAAGTAAATATGAGTTAAAAATCGTTTTTGAACGTTACTTATTTAAAATTGTTATTAAATTTTCAACCTGTAGTTTCTTAATATTGTTAATTTGTATTTATTTTGTGAAAAGAATTGCTTTAAATCTGTAAGTAAGTTTCATTTTACTATGATGTGCAAAATATTGCACAATGGAAACCCCAGTCGGTTCCCTTTAAAAATAGAAAAAGTACATGTCTCTTCATATCATTGATGTTTTCTTAAACACCACCTAGCTTTGTTGAATGTAATGCACTTCGGCCTTTTACGACCTGATTGTGAAATCACATCGAACGTTCAAGACTTAATAAATCTATTGAAATGTGGCAAATTTGTTTTTACACAGGATTGAATACACCATGTTGAAAATGACATACGAGTAACATTATGTAGAAATGTAAATATTTATGAATTGAAAAAGAAATAGCTTAAAGTACCTTCCCTAACCCATTTTTCTCTTCTTGTTTGTGAATTCGCAAAAAAGATTTTTTTTCTATATTTATAGGTGAAATTTAAAGCGTCGTTTTAGTGTTGCAAAGACCTTTGTAATCTGCAATTGGAGGACCATATTAGAGGACAGGGGGATTTTCTGAATACGCATCCCAGGGAACTAGTAGTACTTTTCGTACTTTATTAGATATAAAGGCTGTAAGTATCGATTACTTTTTTTAAGGTCATCCGATCCTCAGTTTATGAAAATCAGGGAACGAGTTATTGAAAATGCTCACAAAAATGTCTCTAATTTCTCAAAGTAAAATGTATTTACCCGCGGTGTTTCTTTAAACTTCATCTTTAAATATAATCATATAATATAGGGAAAATTAGTAAATCTAAATTAATTTTTCAGGAAATGCAATTGGAACTACCTACTGCATATTTTCTTATTTATCATTGATTAAGGAATACATTTTAGGAAAAAAAAACCTTAGGTATCCAGTTTTTAAAGAAAACTGCATGGTTTTTACACTTAATCGGCACTTTACTTTCTTACTTCCATCGTTTCATAATGCATAGTATATGAAGTGTTTCCTCTCAAAGAAAACACCGTAAATCACTTTTAATTTCAAATCATGCTCATAAACATTGGTAACTCAGGTTAAATTTAAAGAACTTTGATTTTTTTTAAATATGATTTTTTTTATGAGGTACAAATGTCAACTTTTTAAATACTGTTTGTTAAAACTTTAAAGAACATTGAATCATACGTAGAGGCATAAAATGAAAATTGTTGCATGAAAAAATTTCAATTTCAAGCTTTATTTAAGACTTTTTGAATTAAATTATGAATTAAAGAGTAATCCTTCCTGGCTGAGGATCGGATATCCTTAAAGAAGCTTGATAATCAGAAATGATTAAACATTTAACATTAACTAAATACAATGATCTTATATGTTTTTGCTTTTTATAGCATTTGGTTAATTTATTTGCTGTTAAAATCCCTTCGAGAATTTTAAACTCAAAAATAGACACCTCCGCTTGTCGGTGGAGGACTTCAAATTTGAACCTTTACATTGTTAAGTGAACATTATAGAAATCATAACTTCTGTTGTTGCTTAAATTTATACGCTTTATTTGAGTCTTTCTTTTTCATCCGCCTTTTTTGTATTCATTTGATATTTTAATTCTATACATCATTTACAAAAATTACTCATATTTTTCATCTTCACATGGTATTATGCGTTGTATGCCTGTTTTTAACAAAAGAGTCATAAAAGCTGGAGCTTAGTCCCTTTGTAGGAAAATAACTTGTAAGGAGCATGATCTTCATGATCTTCATAATAGAATTTAGTCATCATGATGAACGCACATAATCATAATTTTTGCAAACCAAACAAATTTTGATCTAATGTATTCTTTGAATTGTTTCAAAGAAGAAGGTATACCGTTTGGACTTAAGTGTGCCCGAAAATTTAATGTATTTAATAAGTTGTGGCATTGGCTTTTACCAGAGTTGAGTAGATGAATATGATAAATCATGAAAGAATATGACATGAAGGAGGACCATTCAGGAAACATTACGTCAATAAGTTGGTACATTTCTAAATTTAATACAGAAAAGACTCAAAATGACTCATTTCTGCGCTTATTTTCCTTTACAAAATAGTGTCTGCCAACTTCTATTTTTGGATATATTATGTAAACTGCCTTGAAAATCACAAAATCTTTTTTGGCGACGTTTGCAGAGTATGTTTTCTGAAAGAAGGATATGGAAATAACGAACAGTTTTCAATCTCAACGTCCATTAAACAATATACAAAATAAGAGCAGAGCAAACACGGACCTCCGAAACATCAAAGGTGGGATCAGGTGCCATGGAGGAGTGAGCATCCCCCAGAAAATTTCACTGTTTTTAAGAAAACATGGGAAAATGCACAAGTTAATGAGGTCACAATCATGATTTAGGAGGCCATATAAGAAAAACAATTTGTGTATTCGTACTGCATGGAATTTTCACGACCCAGAAAGAATTAATTTTAAATTCTTATATAACTTTCATATTTGAGAAAAACACTAGGCTTAATTTGATCTGAAACTGTTCCTTGTTCTTTGTTTCTTTAAAGTCACTTTTTCAGGTCTTTTGTTTTCAACATTCATTTGAGGAAGTGAAATCTACGGAAATACAAGTTTTTTTAACGACGTTCGATCCTGATATTTCAAGTCTTAAACATTTTTTGCCAAGTATATTTTTAAATTGTACATACATAGCTTAATTAAAATTCAAATGAAAAAATGGGGGTCAAATTGCTTCTTTTGGCGCTACAGTACATTTAATATGACCTTTTTGCACTGAAATTTGTTTCTTAATTAAAAATCACATCTTCGACGTTTTCCCTCCAATATTTTTATCCTATTAAAGCATGAAACAAAATGAACCCTAAGTCTAATTAAAATAAGACACTTTAAAATTGTGACTTAGAAAATGTTTCAAATTGCTTCGCATATTCAATTATTGACCTTTTTGCACTAATAAAATGTGATTTTTCTGGCATTGAAAATTTAATAAGCAAGAAAATTATTTTAAAGTCTTAAACTTTTTCTGAAATTAAGCAAATAGGTCAAAGTTATTTGCTTATTTTCTTAGATATTTAGAAAAGAACATCAAAAGTTGGGGTATATGATGTAAATTTTCAGATATTACTAAAAAAGTACCAATTTTGTGTTAAAATTGCCTCAATTTTTTCCTGGATTTTCAGAATATATTTACTATATTTATCACATTTCGTTGAAAGAATTCCTAAGAAATGATTTACTAGATATTTCAGAACCAGCATAACACGTTTTACTGAATCTAAAATAAACAGTACCGTTAAAATTCAAAAGGGAAAAATTGATCATTTTCTTCTATAAAACCTTCTGCCACAAAAAAAAGTTCGTGGCTTAATTCTACTTGAATGGAACTTAATTACGATTTTTTCATTGAATATAGTTCAATTTGCATTATAGAATTCAGATTTAATGTTAGAACCTAAAAATGATGCAGAATTTTATAAATAGAGGACAGGACCAAAATCCGCTCAAAAGCGCAGAATCGAACGTCCTTAAAAGCTCTATGTAAAGCCCTTCGTTGTCCGTGTGTCTGTCCACCTGTTCATTCAATAGCAATATTCAAAACGTTCCTCCTCCTAATGTTTAAGTCCAATTTCAATACAGTTTAAGTCCAATTTCAATATAATTTTTCACACAAAAAGATCACATTGAGATGCATTATGCTACATATCGGTGTTTGATTCCATAAATGGTGTAGCTATTGTTGCTTAAAATAGAAATTTCCGTTAAATTCCTTCAAAATACTATACTTCTACAGATTTGGTCTGATTTCAATATAATTTGGCACACAAAAAAGCTATATTCAAAAACATATTTTTGTGTATCAGATTTTGATTTCAATAAATTGTTCTGCCATGGTTAATAAACATTAAAGTTTCCGTGAACTAACTTTTTACACAAGTAGATTCTACTAAAACATAATTCTTGTTATAATTTGCTTTAGGTTTCTAAGGTAATAAAAATATAATTTCTTCGATATTCTTTCAAAACAATGCCCCAAGTACCGTTTTTGGTCAGATTTCAGTATTTCATGTGGCATAAAAGTAGACTTCATATTGCTTTTCATCGATTTTTCTGATTTCCATACTGTGATTTACCTTGAATAATTCCTCCTACAATGTGTGGTCAGATTTGAGTAAACACGTAAACTGGCAAATAAGTAGACTACCGGGTATGCTAAATAATAATAATAATATAAATAAAATAATTAATGATAATCAATTAGTTCTCTCAATTATTCATTTAATTCTATATATCTTTTCAAACATTAAGTAAACATTGCAACATTTCTTAATAGCTATCGTTCTGCGATTGTGTGTAAGCATGGAATTTAGGTATGCTGTTTGAATAGTGTGTGGTTTTCAAACATAACAGATTATTTGCTCGATGGGTGAGTTACAAACAGCTTTATTCAACTTCATTTTCATATGTCTTAATTTTAATATCCACTGTGTACTGCTTTTTGCTCATACAAAAGAAAATGTTTTTTTAAAAATTCCTTTTCCTTAAAAAGAAAAAATAATAATATTTGCATGAAAAGACATAATAAGGATCAAAAAAGTTTAATCAAACGATCGATTCTTTATTTTATTCTTTATTAAATTGATATTTTTACTAAAGATTACAAGGCCAACCTTTCTAGCATCGGGTCAATAAACGCCAGAAAAAGCTTTCAACAACGAAGATGTCAGGTTTCTTGACCTTAATGAAAACCCTCACAATTGTCCTTGTCCTAGGAATGCAACTTTGCGTCATCGAGTCTAGGCACTATGGAAATCAAAAGAGATTTACACAGGTATTTTTTTTTTCATTATGGCTTTGGATTTTAAGTTTCGCCGACAATGCAACTGCGCATACTTAATCTAACATTCTTGTTTTGAAGATCAACATTTCTTTTTAAATATATAAATGAAATGCTGATATCCATTATGCAAGGGTTGTCCTGTAAAATCGCGGACAAAGCGCTTGTCTCGAAAAACTTAATGGGCACACTAAACTGAAATTGTCAGTAAATCTTTATTTATCATATCTTATTGAACCATAATTTTTGGGATATATTATAGACAAAAATAAAATTGTATAGACAAGATGATATGGTCGTTACGAACATGCATTAACATGCGCTTGCGTGCGATGCTAAAATTTGAATGAACGTGGTGCACTTCTGGGTAAAAGTTGTTAAATTCTCAAATGCATAGAGTTTGTCTTATTTAATGAAGCTTAGAGGGAATATGGCACCAAAAGGGAGTTTGGGAGCGCTTGGGGAACATCTGTAACGGTTCCCGTTACAATTTGCACTAGTTGTTTTCATTATAACTTTGATTTAACCAAAAAAACTTTTACAAGAACAAATTTTCTTTTCATTGGCTCACAAATGTGTTTCCAGACCTTTCTGAAAGACTTCCGTGATTTTCAACAGAAAAGGTAGGCTCAAGGGGGGGGGGGGATACCAATATATCTTATCAAACTTTACGGCGAAAATTAGAGCTCACTAGCGACCGATACTCTGGTTAAAAAATGTGTAATGTCATCTACACTGACAAACCTTTGTTTGCTTTATTTGGCCATATTTATTGTTATTCATGTGCATAGAGGATCTGACAACGAGCAACTGACTAATCGTTGAAGCAACCTTTACACCAAATAGGTGTTTATATCTTACTTCAAACACGTGTTTCAGGTCAATCTGTGATCATGTCAATGGAGCGCAAAATAAAAAAAATGTTCTTATAAAATCAATACAAAGATTAGAAACTATGAAAATGTCACGGGCGTTTTTTATTTGTAATTGTTAACTAGAAAAAATATATTTAATAAAATGTAGTTTGTGTTAAGTTCAGAACAACAGCGCTTTAAGGGTAATAATCACGAGCAGCATCTCTTATGAATTTAAATGGACAAAACATTTTTTTCCTAACTATACTCGTGATCACGTGTTTTGGCCAGGGAATCCACAAGCCAATTGTATTCACCGATAGTACAAGAAAGGAATTAATACAGAAGCAAATCGCATAAATTTGCAGTTTGACTTTGAGAAACCTCGACTTCCACCCTTTATTTAACAAATGAGTTTTTTGTCATTGTGAGCCTGGAAATAATAGAATAAAAATGCTTTTCATTTACGAATTATATAGAAAAATTGTCTTTTGTGCCTTTCAATCGCCATAAGATTTAATTTTCATTTTCTTGAGAGTAAAATTCTGTAGTATTCCCAGTAACCCATAATGCAATTCTCATTCAGCTGATTTGTCAGTGAAAGTCATGTTGGTGCCCCAATTGCTAATCTGACGCCTAGAAATAAAGTCCCAATTCCCATGCAAAAAAAAATTGTCCAAAGAGAAATTTTAATTCATGACTACAGAAAATTGTATCATAGTGAATACTTATTTAATTTTGAATGAATTCAAGAGAGATTGATTGAAATACATTTTTATACAGAAAAATATAGGGTGGGGAAAACTGAAATGCAACATAACTTTTCTGTTTACCATGTCTCTACGTGCTAGTCACTTCGATTCCTAGCCACATTTCCGTGAATAATGTTATCTATCTCGCTGTAGACTCCTTAACTTTCGCCAGAGCCACTGCCCGAGCTACTCTGAACTCATCGGGATTTATAATTTGCAGAAGACAGAAAAATGAAAGGTTCAGAACACATTAGTAGGGGGTGTAAATGGGAAAGAGGTTAACACAACACAAGAAAAATGGTGACGTTTGATTACGTAACGGCGAACCGGAGAGCAGTTCAGTTTGATTTATGTTGTTATAACACTTTTAGAGGATTTAAATGCATACGTATGAAAAAATATAGGCATTGGAACTGGGAGTGGTGTTAGGATTTTTTGCAAAGATGGAGATGATATAGGCATTAAGCATTGGTTTATTGACTTTTCACTTGCAACTGATTTAAAAAAAAAAAGCTGCGTGGACCCTGAGGTCAAACAGGATGCTATGTACTTTTGAGGTTATGTATACGCGAGAAGGTAAGACAGTTCGCCGAAAGACACTTTACCTTTAGAATATGTGTCCTATTCCAAAACAACTTGCCTATAATACAACTAGTCCTACTCTAATCAAAACTTGCAAAGTCTGCGTGGCAACTGTTCATTTACATGTATAAAAGACGGTCAGATGTGGGATACCCCTTTCATGGCGAAGGTTTTAAGCATTTCTAGAGAAATCAATATCAAGATTTCATGGCACTTTTTCGAATTTCCTGTAATCTTTGTATATATCAATGTATAAATATTCCAGAAGGAGGTAATGTGTAGTTATAAAAATGATTAGAAAAATATTACTTCAGTTGCCTCGGCAACGAAATAGATAATGATCATGCTGGGTTTTCTATCTATTCATGAATGAGTTTCATTTTGTCTATTTTGCTTAGTTAAGTATTTTTTAAAATTAAATTTTTTGTTTGCGTTTTATCAATGAAAGTTATCGGTTATGGACGCGATTGCACGGCGTCACGTGATCAGTCATTTGGTGAATAAAAAACGAATTTTTGCTGTAACTATTTCCGGAATAAGGAGCGTCATATGTTTGCGCTCATGACAAAAAGGGTTTATTTTTCTAAAGTAGAGAAAGTATAAGACATTATAGATTGTTACGATGCACTAAGAGTGATGGTGAGCGTTGATCATATTTTTAATCTACGTGCATGGTTTACGATTTGACACGTCTGTCTATATTGTATATCTCTGAACATTGAAATCCATGTTCATAAAAAATAAATTTGATTTATATCTTGAGGTTTATTCTTCATTTAAAAATTAGAATTTTATTTAAAATTGTTGTTTATCATAGGATCTACATCTATATAAAGATAATTTCCAATAAGAGATTCAGACGGCGTGATTTATTAGAAACATGTATAAATATTGATGAACGAAGGCGATTTTGATAAACGTGTTACGGCGAAGACCAATCATGCCTAGAAGATGTATCTTTAAAAAATATCGCAGAAGATTTTCTTTTCGCGAGGCCTATAAGGTCTTTAGTATTTTCAGCAGTGACATCGCCGTGTAAACATTCAATCATCGTCACACATATATTGTAAACGATTGTTGTAAAATGGTTTATGCGTCGTATTGAAACACAACACACTTCTTCTGAAAGAATACCAGGGAAGATATGTACATAAATAAATAAAAGAAACATGTGAGCTCATCATGCTTATAGGAATACATTTGAAAATTTTTTTTTTTAATCACATGGACATGAACATAGATGTTTCACTCCAGCATATATATCATAAAGCGATGGAAAAATATTTCAATCAATGATTATTTTTGTAGATCTATAGTTTTGACGTCAATTGTGTCATTATGACGTCACAATGGAGATAGCGCTCATCCATGTACAGGAGAAAATGAAGTGTATACTTACTTGAAAAGAATCGGAAGTAAAACTATTTGTAAATGTGAATATTTAAAGTTACTATAATTTGGCAAATAAGATAATTTATGGATGAATACATTTATTTAAAAAAAATTAATGTAGTTACGAGTACATTGTAAAATAACATCTTTTCATTCAATGTGTTCAAATTTCTGAACCAAACCCCCCCCCCCCCCCCCCCCGATTCCAGGTCACTAAGAAGAAACATCGCTGAGTTTTCAAAGCATGAAGAATAAGGCCTTTGAGGACTGTGCACTGGTTTATAATATATTTACTTATTTACTTATTTTGATATAGTAACAAAATGAATGTTTTGGAGATGAAAAACTGTGTTTGAAAAAATAGTTATTTTCGTGACCACTGTCGGTAACAAGTAAATCATTGTGTTTCACATATAAAATGAGCATCAGCTGCCAGATTTTCAGAGAAAAAAGTATTTACTTATCTATACATATGGCCTTTATTGTCTTTTAAACAGATTATACATATTTAAGGTCCAAGAACAAACCATCATATGAAAATCTGTGAAATCTTTTAATATTCTAGGAAGGGGGGGGGGGTACTGAAATGCATGTAGCTTCAAAATTAATCTGATTACCTTACTTCATATTTTAACCATAAGTCACTTATAATGACTAGTACAGCATATATTAGTTTTGGGAAAATTCATTGGGTAATTTTTTGTCTAGACGTTAAAACCTGCTATTTAGGTGAAAATATTGCTGCAAATTTACAATCAATACTTCCCAAAAAAACAATGGCATTATTACAATTATCAATAGTTTCCGAAACAATTTTTCTTTTTCAATAAGTATAAAGCATGTTCTCAAATATCTGCAGGAAAATATTGAATTTGCTTCAATTTTGTTGCGTGTATGGCATTATAAAACACTCACTTCATAAATATCAAAAGATTAAAAAATGGTGGTTACCATGGCAACCATAACTTCCTTATAAGCCTGATGACCATGCTTGATGCTTTGATATAATGGTATCATTGACATTAGGAACGTTATATGTAAAAATGAGAAAAATTCATTGGGCAGAATTTTTTCACGGACCCGTGCAATCCTTTCCTTAAATATCAGCTGTTAGAACAAGTAATTTTTCTAAATACATTGATTTCTTAAATTGTTATATTATGATGTACCCCCCAGAACAACACGCATAAGTACCACCGTGTCGCAAAATCCCTCAAATAGTGCGCGAAGTTAAACTTGAGCTAGCAAAAAACTGGTTCAGACCATTCAACAGTTTTCTTTGCACAAATGTATTGTAATTATTTCCTCTATTTTCTATCTTCTCGGTTCAAGAAATGTTCTGATAGTTGTAGTTTTAACGAAGTTATGAATGTTTGTTTACCCTTTAGACGTTTTTCACGTCAGATGCGTAGAAAGCAGTAACGTATCCCACATCTGGCCGTTTTTATACATTTATCCTGAAATGAACGCAAAACATATTTGCATATACATGTATGTACATGTATATATATATGTACACATGTATATGGAAAACTAATAAGATAAAGGTTACCTTCATTTTAGGGAGGAGAGATAGAGAGAGTTTTTATGACATACCAGAACAAATTAAAGACTACTCTTTACATAAGAAAGTGGTCTTCATCGACATCAGTGGTTTCTAGGACGCGATTTGAAAAAAAAAGAGGATAGGAATCTGACAATTATGTAGATAGTCCACTCAAATTGTCATAAACCTTCAACAAAATTGCAAAATAATATTTTTTTAATTTTGCATTATTAGTAAATTGTATTATATTCATCATAGAAAAATTCTATAAAATATAAATAAAGGCACATAAATTATTTAAACATATAGATTTATTGGTCTGATAAAATATTTATTACAGATATATGTGACCATATGCACCAAGAGTGAGAATTCTAATCACTAAAAACAAAACATTAGCAATAATAATTTTTTAATTCACTTTGTGTACATGTACATGCTTAGGTTTAAATTTCACCAATGCACTGAAAATATTAGATTTGAAAATCTTATATATGTCTTCACTATATGTATTGTTAAAATCTTAGTATATTGTCTAAATCATGATTTCTAAAGCATGTAAGAACCACAGACACTTATTTCCTTTAGAAATACATATATGTAATTACTGTCCATGTATTTATATTCGCAATTAATTTTTGTTGCAATTTCTTTTCTAAAAAAGTTCATTTATGCCTTTACAACCAGGAAGATGTATGCAAAGAAACAGTAAAGACTGTTGAAATAGTGACTGATTGTCCTTTCGACACAGAGAGTATGAGAAGAAAGTCAGAGGAAAAAAAGTGTGAAGATATCCACGATTCCTGTTCCAAGGATCCGTTAGTGTATCACTGCTTGCGGTATGGAAACAAACTCACTGAAGTTTGTGCTCCGCGGGATTTAATCTCAGGTATGCAAATTTAAATCGGTATGTAATTTCTGTTTGTTTTTTCCTTAACTCCTTGCTCCATTTTCTATTTTTTTTTTTTATGAAAATTTAAACATTAACATCTGAAGAATATCATCAGTTGAACCTCATTTTCTTTGAATATGATTCGCAATGATCTCAAATAAATAAAGTTATATTGATACCTTTGTAATGTTTATACTCTTAATTAAATCTGTCAATCTGTAATTAATAATTATCAAGCCAGCATCAGAATGTTTATTTTCAATCAAGCACTGCTCTCTGCCGTTATCAGTTCTCACGATAAAGTTCCTCTCCCTAATATCATCTGTTGTCAATCATTATCATATGCATGGGAATATGTTCAATCTGATCATCACTTAATAAATAGTTAGTAAACTAGACAGACGTGTTCTTTTACCTCTCTCTCACAACATTACAACAATGATATCAAATAATTTTCTCAATTTCCATAAAGAGTCTCTTTCTAGCGTATGGAAGACCAATGACATATCTAAAATATTTTTAGAAAGGATCCGGAATTTTCACATGGAAAATGAACGATGCTGTATTATTTGATATTTATTTTGTAGGAAAGTGTTGTGCTCAGTTCAACGAAGGAGTAGGTCGTGTTGTGGAAGATTATAATATCCGATGTTCAGAGTGCCCATTCCATTATTATTCTAATGAATCGATAACATGTAAGTCGTTTTTATACCATTAAAGTTTTATTATTTTTTAATCTATAAAACAAAGAATACCTATCAATGATTTTAACCTAATTTTAAAAAAAAATACCTGTACTTATAGAACAAATAGTCACAAAAAGCATCTTTAGCTAAGTCTCGGTGAAAAGTTTGCTTGCATCTCTCCCTTTATCTAAAACACATACATGTACACAATGCAGAGTAAACTCACTAATGCCTTTTTCAATGAAAACGATCAAAAAGCCTTTACATCTTTGTAATGACATGGGTACGAATTCTTTTTTTTCTTAAATTCTTCATCAAAACATGATGTGATGTCAAATACATTGAACCATGAAATATATCTAAAGTGCATCATTCTGTACGAAATCGAGCACTGGTTTGTTATGTCTTCAAACCCTATCGTTTGCTATCATTTTAAATGAAAAATAAATGGGGAATACGTTTATTCTGCAGACATAGAAATACATGACTAGTATTTGTCGATCCTTTGTTCGGTCAGGTGAATCTAAATGCATGATTAAAAAGAAAAAATATGAATTTGAAACAAATGACGGGCACAAATTTTTAATGAGGATATCAAAATAATTGAAAGAGAATTGAATGCTTGCAGAGTATTCCTAGATAATTTATTACTGCAGTATATATATAAAAAAGGTATGGTGACATTTAGATTTAAGGATACACCAAAGGTTTCCAAAGGGCAAAATTTAATTTGCTTGTAATTCTTTCATTAACAAAGATAACATATTAAAAGTATATATCATTTGAAAGCTTGTTAAATTCACTATTTAATGATCTTAATTTAAATTTTCAATTTTATCTTACTAAAAATTTATTAATATTTTAATGTAAATATTAGTGCATTTATATTTTATAAATCAACTTTTTTGTAACCTCTCAAAGTCAAAATTTTGCCTCAATGTAGACTAAAGATTGAACTTCAAAACCGTATCTCAGATTTTTGATAAATCTTCTTATTCAAAAGTTACATCCATTTGTCTTTCAATGTTACCAATTTATTAGCCTAATTCTACATTTCCCCAAATAATTCGAGAACTGAGCAAGATATCAAAAATCTGAGATACGGTTTTGTGAAAACACATTTGAGACACATTCTGGCCAGTTTTCAGAGAAATTGGTCAATAATAATAAGGGAGCTGAATCCTTTCAAATAATACCACCAACTGTCTGATCTTACTTTACAGTAGAGGGCAAAAACCCATTACACAACAAAGTCTGCCAAAGCTGGAAATATATGACACCTCGGAGATTCAGCTTTGGATACCTTTATCCATATTTCCTATGCATATTCACAAGAATGGGATATTTAGGTGCTTTTAATGAAGTAAAATAGGTTCAATTCTGAATCAGAAAGATTTCCCGGCAAAATGGCAAGAGCTAAGCTCCACCTCCTATTTCATGGTCATTAGTGACCTGTTAGATCTCCTTCCCTAAATCTAGAGTCCCTGTAGTTTAATTACTGATAGCCTCTGTGTGGCTAGTGAAGAATTCCCCAAGTGGTCACAGTGATTTATTGCTCCTTTCAGAAGCAGGCAGTTACAGACCAAATCAGAAGCTTCAATAACGGCACATTCACATGTGTTAGTGTTTATGTTTGATTATTGTTAAATAATTAGAAAACCATTTAATAATCAGCAAGAATTTTCCATCCATTATAAAGCAGTGATTAGCATTGTTTTCTTAGCCAAAAATCTCAAAATTGACAAAAATCTTGAAAAAAGCCTTTGGTGTATCCTTAAAGGCGAAAGACAGATACCACGGACACGTGTGCTAAACTAAACTCTAAATAATTAGATAATAAGATGTTTCGTTATTTGTAGATACCACTTGTTTTGAATCAATTAAATCAATTGGTCTTCAAAAAATAACATTCATTACTCGACATGTTATCGCTCTTGTCACTAAAAGAAATCCTGGAAACTCATCGGATTGGCAACACCGACTAAAACGGGATGTAAATGCATATGACTTTGACGACATTGAAATTACAACTACCACTGATAATTATAATCATTCAATTGAGAAAAAGAAAACTGTGACTGAAAATGACAGGTATGTTCTGAGAAAATTACTATGTTGTTTTGAAATTCTTTATTTCTGTTAAAGATTAATAATAAAACAAACTTTTATTTAATGTAACAATGGAACGGGAGATGCCAAATTCATTGTGTACATCACCTTATCAGTATTAATCTTTACTGGAGTCGGTGCCGTTTGCTTCTATTTCAAAGGTATGCGGCCTTTGATTCTTTGCAACATATTAAATGGTGCATTTGTTTCTTAAACGTTTTTTTTTTCTCTCTTTGCCGATATCTTAAAAACCATATTTATTTTGCAGGAACAAAAAAGATGTTGAAGCAAATTGTATGAGTAACGAGAACAGATCGATTGTTTATTGCATGTGAACATTTCATCAAAAGAAAAGTTTACTTCTTTCACTTTGTACAAAATTTATTAGTAATATTGCTTATTTTCTGTCATGTAAAGGATGACTGCACTTAACGTTGAATTTAGGGTCTTTTTCAATTGGTTCTGTAGCTTTTATTTTTTTATTTAATTTCACTTTTGTACATGTACATGTATATCTGCTACAGAAGTCTGTCCATATGGCATGAAATTTAAATCATAAAAATAATTTTGGAATGAAATAATTATAACTTATTCTCTGTTTTTTTTTTCGTAATGTTTTCCAAATAAAGAGAATTTACACTAACATATATCTGCCCTTGATTGAACAGTTTGTATGAATGAGAAGCTGAGCCGACATCGTAAGGATGGATCTAAAATTAGACTCGATGAATAACAATTAGGAGTTCCGTGTTTGCTCTCCTTCGATTTTGTATCGTTATATGGACTTTGATAATGAATCCTGTTTTTTATCTTTCATGTATAAATAAAAAGAGATAACTTTTTTCCATTTATTTCGATCGGACAAGTACATAATATATTCAGTATTTACAAAGGTTTAAAACGTAATTAACAACATGAACCCCGTCAATGTAGGTAAAGAATATCTTAAATCGAGGCCTGACAATATAACTCATTCGATCAAAGCCGGTATACACGATGAAATTTGTAGTATAATGCAAGTATTATAATACTTTTGTGTTATTATTATAATACTTTTGTATTATTATACATTCTTGTACACACGCTAATACATATCTTATAAGTTTGTATATAAACTATTTATTCCCACGTGTTTTCTCCTGCCATATTTCTCTCTCTCTCAAAATAATAAAAATGATAATAATAAGCTCTGCTTTTAGCATCTAGTTCGCACGAACATGCTAAGTCACGTGTATTTAGTATTCACAATGTTACCTGAGGAAAATTATCACTTTTTACAACACACACACACAGAGAGAGAGAGAGAGAGAGAGAGAGAGAGAGAGAGAGAGAGAGAGAGAGAGAGAGAGAGAGAGAGAGAGAGAGTTAGTTTAAGAAGAAACATTTTTCTTCTCTTTTAAACCGCGAGCGCATGTTTGTCTATAAATCTTCTTCTACCACAACATTTCTAATTCAAATATACAATTATTGTTAAAATGAGAGCAATAGATTAACATGCGCTTAGTATGTATAAAGTCCGTAAAAATGGGCGTTTTCATTTGTAACAGCAAATTTAACATTGTACGAAACATTTTTTTCCGGATTTGGTTTGAGTGTTAGACTTTTCCGGATTTGGTTCCAATATTATAATTTTCGCGGGAGCACGAGATTTTTACAACAGTAGAAATTGTTTACCAGTGTTTACTAGTCACTGTGCTGATTATCATGTTTGTCTTCAACTTTTCCATGAGAGAAAACTTCTAAGTTGGTAAGTTAAGCATGAAATCTTTTTGTATATTGTTGCAGAAGAAATTTTGACGTGCAAAATTGTTATAAATTGTATGTTTACAAGGTGTTCACTGTTTACCTGTTAAGGTGTAATTTTTACGGATATGTTGGAAAGTTCATATGAACGATTTTGATTGGATGACTATGTGAAGGGAATTTTTGCCATAATAGGTTGATATTTGTAATTTGATATTGAAAATTAAAGACTTCTGTGACTTTTGGTATGAAATTATTTGGCGCATGTGCACTCAGTAATAATCATATATTTTGTTGAGCATTTTCTAGTAATCTTTTGAAATTGTGTGATTTGACAGTAATATAAATTTCATATGTACTAATTTACTAGGGTACATGTGCAATATTTAAAATTTTATTTAAAATGTTCTTTGTAACAGTGTTGTTTACAAAGAGCATATAGCATTTATTTATAATCAGAGTGATGTTAATTTGACAATCGCTGAGTATGTGTTTTATGTGTAATATCAAATATTTATACATGTTTTCTATGTATTTACAGTAAATCACATCACATCACATCATGCCACGTCATCATGTTGCTGTCACTGGAACTAAATAAAGGATGTGCATTTACAAAGGGAGTTAACTTCTCTATGAACTTACTTGATGATAGTCAGTACACATTATCATTTCATATCATCCCGCCTGAGAAAACAGTACTTTGAATTATTGTGATTACGTAAAATTGTAGACTAGATGTCCATTTCTGCACTTAAAAGAAAATGTTTGTTTCGAAAGTTTATATTGTTGCAAATTTTGCATGTCTTTTAGTGCAGTCATCCCGTGTTTATTGATGAAAATAAAATCTTACACATAATTGTTAGAAATCTTTCTGCTTTTGGGAAAGTTTTTAATCTTTTTTATTTGTTATTATTCATTGTTTTTGGAAGGAGGGTGTCTGGACTCGGTTCATTATTCTGATAGTTCCAATTAATGTTTTAGGTAACATCAACTGGCAAACTCCTGGAATTCGAAGTGATCCAAACTAAATTCGCCTAATATTTGGTTTTTCATAAGACAAAAATGTCATTAAAAATGTAACATCCGGATTTTCAAATTTTAGAACAATCAGACTTTTTTTCAGAATAAGGCGCGATGATCGGGATCAAGACAAAAAATTATCACCTAATTAACCCTTTCGCCTAATTCTTTCACTTTGAAAATGAAAGAATTATGACATGCCTAATTATTAGCCATGAGTCCGATAATATTTACTGAAGGTGTACATCCTCACTTAAACAGTTTTCTAACTTCAAATTTGTTTTATAAGAAGAAATTTTTTAGTAAAATACTACATTAAAGCAAAAGTATAGATAATGTACAATCTACTCAATTTAGAATTAATTTTATCGATGAAATAAAAGTATATACTCTAGTCCCATTTTTCACTGTTTGTTTCCCTACTAATCCCAACAATTGATCATGAGTTAAGATGGTACACAATACCTTCATGTTTTTATAAACATCCGTAAATTATCTTATTTGGTTAGGTTGAGTGTTTTTTATAGAGTCGTATATTGAGAAACTGTCCTCCATAGCGTGTGCGGTATCGATAACAACATTTGATTAATAAATATAATGCTGAACTATTACCAATCAGTTTTCATGTCCTCCAGACTTTGTCGCCTTTGCTATTTCTTTTAAAAAGTAACGAGTTGATCATATATCATCTGTTCAATATAGCTAAAACAATTTTGAGTTTGGGTTGCAACTGCTATAAAGGGGTAATCATTTTTAAGTTTCTTTTTTAGAATTCCTAATAATCGAATTGGATAGGAGGTAACAAGTACTTGCACGTAACAAAAATACAAAACGGGTTTTAAGAAAAGTACTGTAAAGCATCTTCCTCAACTTCTTTTGAAATCATTAACAACACAAAATTGGAAGAAGAAACCTAGTTTTACTTGGCAAATCTTTCAAAAAGGTTGTTGCTACTACTTAACGAAAAGGAGTTTTAAGAAATTTGTATCACAATCAAAAGCATCAAGTGTTAAGACTTTTACACGTTTAAACGCGCCATTTATACAAGAACATTTAAAGTTCAATAAAATCGCAGATAATTTAGAATCATAAATATCTACTTCGCCAATAAAAAAATTCAATTACTTTGCATGCGGTGTTACTGGTTTTCTGAAAACGTATTCTGTAAGAAGTTCATTGATATTGTCAATTATGTACTCTAGGGTTTCTAAAAATACAAGTATTTAAAGTGCATGGCTTTTCCTGAAAATAATTTTTAATGTTTCGCAGATAAAGTTTTCCAACAAATCGATATATTTCCTGTTACTGTGTTGTGTTGGTGGGTATATGAAGCAAAATGAAAGAACTGTTGCGACAATCAATTCAAAAATATATCGTTGACGTTTTCAACTTTATAATATTCAGCTTCAATTGATGGCCTGATGTTATTATGCATATTCAAACCTAGTTTCAATCTATTCTAAAAATGGTATGGGTGCAGTATTCAAAGAATTTTATTTATTTAGTTGTTATCTAATTATTAAAAAAATAATTACCAAAGTTTCAAGGGATAAAAATTAATATGTTGTTTTCAACGCTCGAACATGTTAAATTTGAATAATGCACCTTATATGTACCATTTAGAGGAATGCATCCTTTTACTTTATCACAGAGGCTGCTTCTGCAAGAACATATGCTTTGACAACGATCTCCAAAGAAGGGATATTCACAAGGAATGCTACAATTTAGTCCTAAGTACCCAGAAGGACATCCTACGAAATGAAACAAAAATACATTCTAAGAAGTTACTCTATGTTAAATGTTGTCAAAAATATTTGAGATTGACAATAACTTACTGACACATTCCGCGATCTCAGAATTCCAATATGTGTTAGCACAACATCCCTTAAAGAAGTCTTTTCTGTAATTCAATTTTACTCCTACATGTAATAAAACAGTATAAAAGATTTTTTTTAATAAATAAGTTAAAAAAAAAAAAAAAAAAAAAAAAAAGTCTTACCCACATGGACCTTCTGCAGAAAAAACAGAATGTGTATAAAGTACCAAAAATACAAAAGTTTTACTAGTCATCTTATGGCTTCAATTTTACCAGCATGCGCTAAATCTGTTAAAAAATAATCAAAAAATTTCACAATCATATTTGTACTTTAATAATTGTAAACAACATCCGTTTCCTAAATGTCAAAAGGGTTCGATGTGAAATCAGAGATTTGTTTTAATTTTTATTTCATGTATGATTTGTAGCGTGTGATTCATTCACACTCATGCATTTTCGCTCGGTCGCAAAGCTTTATTTTTTTCTTCAATTTTTTTTCTTTAGCTACAGAAACTGCGTTAATCTAAAAATTATATATATTCAGAATAATTATTTCATGCAATAGATAACAAATATTTACTAAAATGTTAGAAAAATAATTATGAGACAAAGGTTTGTCCCTTTGCTAAGGATATCTTCACATAAGGTCTTGTATTCTGATTGATCTAAAATATTTTCTATAACCGAAAACGTTTTTAAATTAATAAAAAGCTAAATCAAGCTTGACTTAAAATCAATAAGCATTTGAAAGTAATTTTCCCGACTTTTTTTTTTACATTTGAAAAAATTAAAAACATGCCATGTCTATTTCCCTTCCTTTCCTGTTTGAATAAGGTGTCTTTCTTGATATGAAAATGCTTTTCTGGATCATAAGCAGTACAGATTAATGCAGTACTAATTTGTATGAAACAGAAAGAGAAGAATGATTTTAGTATTTCTGTTTGTTATCTCCATAAGTTTCATCTCAAGAACTTTCTATCAATTTACAGAAACTATTTCATATTATCTTCGGAAATGAATTTAATGACCTCGATAACAAAAAAGTACTTTGTCAATATTTAAACTAAGAGGTACACATTTTGTTTTCGCACCTCCTCATTTAAACACTGACAAAATATTTCGTCTTTATACTCCATTTTACGCGGGGTTTCAATGTGTCAGCTCAGTACTTGCAGTACTAATAATTTTTCTTTTGAATACAAGAATGTATAATAATACAAAAGTATTATAATACACTTTTTTGCCATTGAAAACATTGATGGTTTATTCCATAATAAAAAAGCTTTTTCGATGTTTATCCTTTTGAAATAATTATCACTTTCTGTCAAAAGAATTGTTTGTCAACTTTTAATTTTAAAAAGAACTAGATGCATTAATGACCAATATTTGCCCCCAAAATCAAACTTTGACGCAGAAATAAATATGTTCTAATATATGAATTTGTGGTATCCCTCTACTATATAAACATGCAGAGAGCAAATATGTTTTATTATCTGTATGAAGTCATTCACGGTTCATAAGGCAATACGCGACCTTATCACACGGCGCATTAATATCAACAAGTACATAAATATTGAAATAACTTGCTTTTCATGTATAAAAATGAAAAAAAAAATACGCAAGTAAATGACAATTGTTTTATTGACAATGTAAAACAAGTTTCAATACAGTTTTTGGGCGATCGATTTAACCTGTATAAGTAGACAATATAGACCTATGGCCCACCGGTAGAAAACTATCCTTTGTGTACAAGTTTTGTGTCAGCTGCACAATCTCTAATGTTTTACCCTTTTTATTATTTTTTGGTAGACCTTTAGCTAAATTTCCCTGATAAACTATATTTTTTTCATTAAATTCTGCTCACGATAAATTTTTAAACCTGTTGGAAAATATCAAAGCATTGCAATCACACCACGAACCACTGACAAACACTTCGGCGTTGTAACATTATTTAAGCTGTCTATCGCATCCATCCATCCATCCATCCCTTTCTTTGCGACCAAATTTCCTCCAACTTTTTACCATCAATCTTCGGACGTGTCTGTTTAGCTTTAACTATCAATAATCATGATAAAAAATATTCAGAGAGAAAAAATTGTTCACTATTACTGATCACAAGTAGCTTTTCACAAAATATTCTCTTCGAAATAGAATTCTTTGCCTGATGATTTTAAGACTTTCAAGCTGATTTAAACCTTGTGTAATTTTGCAAAATCTACGACAAACAGTTAGTACAATAATTTATATTCGAAATTATTCAATTGTCTGTCTCAAATGTATATATACGTAAGTGACAAGTTTTAAAAATTTCAGTGGGAATTGAAGTGGGTCGGTACGTGATCAAAACTTCTGAGGAGGCCTTCTTTATTTACAGGATTTGATCGAGTGACCGACTCACTTCAATTTCCATTGAATTTTCAAACATTTTATTTATTTCTTAAAAATAGGAGGATATTTGCAGACTTCAAAGCGCTAAATATTTTTAGAAGCCTTACCTCTTTGTTTGATAGAACGTCTGGAAAATGAAGTTAATTTGAAATTTCCTTGATTCATACAGAAAAAGGATGCATTTTGCGTCTATATTTTGATTATTATTGGCTTATTTTTAGTCTGCAGATATCTCCTATTTTAAAACATAAATACATTGTGTATATATCTCTCTGTCAAAATTTGATTTTGGGGACAAATATTGTTCATTACCGCATAAAGTCCTTTGTTGGATCTACAATTCTGTTCTCAGGCTGATGCAAAATTTATTAGTTTTATTAGATTGTGAACGACAAAAAAAAAGTCCTTACAAAGAATTTTTTTGATTATCAGATCTTAAAAGCATTCTTAAGCAATCACCCCCCCCCCCCCCCCCCCCCC